TAATTATATATATATTTATATATGTAAAAACTGTCAGTTTGGCATGTACCTCCTACAGGAGTCCTGTTGACACAAATACATACTTTCTCAGGCTGTAAACAGTTTATCACAAACAGAATTCTGTGTTACTTTTTACTTTCCCTGCTGTCTTTACCTTTATCTTCTTTTTCTGATTTGTCTTTTTCATATTTATCCTTGTCTGGCTTTGTTACACTATCATAGGATGGAGGGGAGGTTGTGGATGGGGTCATATCTGTTTTTTCTGGAGTAGAGTTCTCATTTAGTTTATCCATAATCATATCTCCTTTCATGGGCAGATTGTCCTCATCTTTACCTTTATCCTGATTAAATATACATGAAACTTTTTTGACTTTTTGCCTTAAAAGATGACGTCTGTAAGCACGTTGAATAATGACAGCAGATACTTCCTCCTGTTTTCTCTTTAATGTGGTTGTAATTGGTTCGTAGGAGACTTTAGAAGGATTGGCTGCCATAAACCGATCTTCCATCTGTATTCTGAGGGCATCCATCTCTCCACTTTCCCCCAAAACACGCTTTGTGAAAGCAAACAAGATGTCAAGGCAGTGAATTCTGTCACCACTTACCATGGGCAGATCCATTGCAATAAGTTGAATTGTGTTTGGTTTTGGTATATTCAGAGGAGGATCCAGAGAAGCTGCAAAATCAGACAATTTCTCATATTCTATGAACTGTGTTGCATCTGGATCGTATTTTTCCCAGACTTCATAGAACATCTCAAAGTCATCCTCGCTCAAGGGTTCAGCGCTTTCTTCAGTAGCAACACTGAAGTTCTCCAAAATCACAGCAATGTACATGTTCACCACTACCAGAAACGATATGATAATGTAGCTGACAAAGAAGAAAATCCCAACAGAAGGGTTGCCACAGTCACCTTTAACTGAGCTCCCTGGATGAGTTTTGTTTGGGTTACAGTCTGGCTCCCCACTGTTTAGAATTGGGGCTAGCAAACCATCCCAGCCTGCAGACGTGGTAATTTGAAACAGGCAGATCATGCTGTTGCCAAACGTCTCAAAGTTGAACATGTCATCTATACCAGCTTCCCTCTTAACATAGGCAAAGTTGGACATGCCAAATATCGCATAGATAAACATGACCAGGAACAGCAGCAGACCAATGTTGAACAAAGCAGGAAGAGACATCATCAAAGCAAAAAGCAGAGTGCGGATTCCCTTAGCGCCTTTAATGAGACGCAGGATTCGGCCAATTCTGGCAAGTCGGATGACTCTGAATAGCGTTGGGGACACAAAATACTTCTCAATCATCTCAGCTAAGAACATACCTGTTGAAAAAACAAGTTAAATTAGTAAAGAATATTATTATTACATTTATAAACCACTTACAAAGACTTATCCTACAAACACTGTACAACTTTAAGAAGATGAGCAGGATATTTGAACAGATTTTAGAAATTAGCCATTCAGTTGTTTTTACAAAACCCTTGTAAAGCCTTACAAAAACTTTTAAGTTTGGTATGCTTTAGAAACCCATAAATCCCAAGAGAAATTCTGAAGTAATTTGGAGGATAACAAAAAACTGCATCAATTACATTTTTAGGTATTAGTTGTAGGACTGAGTATGCAAAAAGATGCACAAATACACAAAATCAATCTTTTTTAGAACAAACTTATAACTAATGTATTTGGACTAGCAAACGCTGAGACCAGAACAGCTTTCTGTTGAACTGTAACAAAAATAATCTCAGTTAATCTGAAGAAAGATCATACTTATAATAATATTAAAGTGCCACATAATCAAGTTATGGTATTCAAAGAAAATATGTATGTTTGAAGATAACAACTTAATCACACATGAAATGCTGTGACCGGAAGTCTAGTATTAATGACACAGCAATTCCAAACATAAAGAAACGGATGATAAAAAGGCTTCTTAGAACTCACTGAGGAGTCGAAGAATTGAGCATTATATTATGCACCTCAAAGCAGAAAAAATAATTACATCCTGTTTCCATACAAAAATGGCAAACCTATTTGCATATTAAAAAGTTCTGAGAAGTTAAAATGACAGAATTTTTACTCAAGTTCTTTCAGGTTTTCTGCTTTAGATAAAGCAAAGGTTAGTGGAACCATGTATTTATTACTACATCGGCTCCAGCTCTGCTTCTCCAGTCACTCACTCTAGCTCAGGCACAAAACCTCTCAGGATCAAACAAAACTCTGAAGCAAGCTGAGGGTTTTACCTTGCTGTCTGGGCTGCTTGCATGCTAGCCTAGCAACAGTCCCTTTTCTCCTGGATTTTTGATTGTTGGACTCTTCCTGTAACTGCCCCTGTTAGTTTATATCAAAATTGTCTTTCACGTATGGGTTTGTTTCTATGCTGAGGAATTTCTACTGCATTCAGAATAAACATGTAATTTAAACTAATAGAAAAGTAAGAGTTATGAAACCTATTGCTAAAAAATGTCTCACCATACTGTTCAGTTATCTTATGGATAATATGAAATCAGAAGAAATTAAAACTGTGGTCAGACTTTCTAGTGACAATATTGAACCAAAATTTAAATAGACTTTACATGCCAAAAATGTTTCAGTTTCCACAGAATTAGCCATTTCATAAAAATGAATTATTCTTACCTACTATGGAGAGAATGACAACCACAAAATCAAAAATATTCCAGCCTACAGTAAAGTAGTAATGGCGAAGTGAAATCAATTTCAGGACAAATTCTCCAGTGAAAAGTACAATAAACACAAGGTTAATCCAATATAAAATGTTTTCCATGTCTTCACTCTGATCATCTGTTTCTACCATCATTGTGACCATGTTAAGGCAGATAAGTATCATGATACTGATATCAAATGCTTGTTTTGTTACAAAATCAAAGACCATGCCTTGGAATTTGTTCTGAGGAAGGAAAAAAATAAGATTCATTACAATACGCATTGGGTAAAATTTCTTTTCTTTGTAATTGCTACAAATTATCCACATCTAGTATGAAGGGGATTGCCTGTCTCCCATGAAGTCCTCCATTTGTATGAATTTTCTAGTTCATACATGTAAACACAAATTAAATAGAAATACAACTACTGTGTTTATAAGCATTAAAGGGATGATTTCAAAACATACATGGTACATTTTTCTGAAGCTGCAAAGGAGACTTTGCCACTCTGAAGCAGTGCACTGTAACCTTTTGTGACACAGACTATTAAATGAATGCTTAGCTTGGCAAAAAAAAAAAAACCTAAGGTGGGTTAGTAATGTTTCATTTGCCAGAAAATTCACCAAGTTTTCAAGCCCTGAGTTCAGTGCTCTTCATGCTACCAAAATGACCTTCAAAACAATATCTTCCATTTTTCAGCTATAGAGAATTTACTGATGGATGGACTGGCCACTGAGCAGGTTCCACAATCCAAAGTAGAACTGCAGAGCTGGAATCACTCTGCTTCAGCCAAACCCTGCTCTGTAGCGCTAGGTTAGGCCTGCTAAGGACAGCAAACCATTATATGGATTGTGCAACAGGAGTGCGAAAGGCAAAAGGGCTTATTTTTGAGGCAACGATATAGTAACCTGCCCCCATACAGCAGTTTCAGAGTCTTCCTTGGTGACTGAAAAGGCCTGTACTCTAAGGTCTTCACATATTTTTGACAAATACACTGCAATTGTTCTAATCAAACTAGTTTAATTGTTCTAATCAAACTAGTATTTTGAAAAAATGCCACATAAAATGTCATTGCTATCAGCAGAGGAAGAATAAGGGGAAAAAAAAAGAAAGGGAAGAGTCTGACATATGCAGACAAAGAGAGAAAAAAAAATGGATTTCATATGAATAAGGCTTTTCTTATATGACTTTTTAGCTTACAATTTAATTCAGCCTAAGGCATAACTGAAACAATCCCTATTTTAAATAAATGTAAAAATATCAGAAAATATTTTTATTCTTACTGCTGGTCGAGGTATTGGCTTTTGTGGTTTCTTTGAACCCAATTTTTTCATTGCATTGTAGTATTTCTTCTGTTCTTCTGTCATGAAAATGTCTTGACCTCCAAAGTAAACCAAAGAGACAAAAACTGGTTACAATCACATATTTTTATTGATTACTTATAAATGATACTGAATAGTAATAATCACTCTCGTTCACATTTCCATCTGTGGGAAAAGTTCAGACAGACGTAAAAATCCCCTGTCATGATTATAAGTACTTTCACCACGGAAAAATTGCTTTACATATCCCACTTTTAATGTTTAGGATGTTTTTCTGAGAGGCTTTTGACCTTGCACTGTTTGTGGTAAACCTCTGCTTTTCTTTGGGCACAGGGAGATACAGAGGAAGGAGAGGTGCTTTTTCTTTATTATATTAAGTTTCATCAGTTATTACAGAGGCACAGACTAATAAAATATTCTAATCGCCTTGTTTCTCCTCTAGAGTAAATTTTGGCAAAATTTCAGAACTCACATCTATAATAGCAAAGGACAATTACAAAGTATCTAGACAGTCATTCACAACTACTTCTACCTCCACTGGGACAGGACTTGAAGTTGGAGATCCTGGAACTAATATATGGAACAAGTGGAAAAAAAACAATTTCTCTCCATCTCAGTCTATTTCAGCACATGGATCCAACAGCTCCAATCATACTCCAGCTTCTATCACTCCAATAACACTTTGTGTAGCCAGGTACTTTAGTTAAGTTTTGCAGCTGAAACATTGATACCTTTTGAGGCAATGTTGACAAAATACATACTAAAAAGAGTAGAAATAAAGGTAATAAAATATTTATTGCTAGTGTTAAGAAATCTACACTGCTGAGCTCTGACGCATGAAGGTAGAATAGCTAAGAGTTTTTATAGCTACATTTAGCTACAGTGGTTAGTCTTTTTATGACTCCAGCCCCAAATCCACATTTTTACAAATATGACATTGAATATTTCACTAACCAGGGACAGACATATGTTGCCACTTGTCCATTAAACCCACATCAAGCCAAATCATAAGCTTTAATAATTTAACATATTCAATATGCAGAGCCCATATTAATTTATCATAAATTTAAAAAATATGAATGAAGTTATTGTGTGTGGACTAAAAATAATATATTTTTAGCTTTCTTTTCAGAATAACAAGGAAATACTTATCTTCTTTTTCTGCTGGTTGAAATTGTCTATGATGACACCAATGAAAAGGTTCAAGGTAAAGAATGATCCAAAGATGATAAAGATAACAAAGTAAAGATACATGTACAGGTTATCTTCATACTTAGGCTGATCCAAAACCTGCAAAAAAGGCATAAAAACTAAGCCTTAGTTTAACTGTGAGCACAGAATCAACATCTGGATAGAATTTAGGGCTTTGTCACTCTGATCTTTGCCTCTTATGGTCAAGTTCCCATATATCTATCTCACTGATCTTCAATCTATGATGTTACACTCTTGACACAGAACTTTGCTATCAAACTTGATAATTCATTTAAAAAAATGTAACTGGCCTATATGAGCATATAGAATAAATACCAAAGACACAATGGTTTAAACTAGTATAGTACCATCTGTCTAAGTCTACAGACAACATGAAACACCAGCCTATAAAGCTGCAAAATTTCTGTGTATCTTGTGGGAGGCCCCTGATGTGGGCTAGTGGAGCTTTCAGTGGTATAGGTACTCAGGAACTGTCCTGGATTATGGAAGAGAGGCATCCAAGCCATGTTTACAGTAAGCATGTTTTCTTGGTACAGCTATGCACATTTACTATTACTACAACAGGCCTCCCACTGTGAGTGTAGCTTATCAGAAAACCTGGAGCTTTGCCAGGATAGTTTATTCAGTTGTCCACTTAGAATTAGATGACAGCTTGCACCAAGAAAGCAAGAGGAATGCAAAAGGGTAAGAAAGTGCACAGGCAGGCCAAGTTAGTAACAGGACTTGTGCCCTGAAGAAAGGAGACGGGCAGCTTGCAGACGAGTTAAAGTCTCAACTTTAAGAAAAGTGCTACAAAATATCATCTCTAAGCTGGGTATCAGTGCCTGTGTCCAAATGTAAATAAAGCCTCAATGCACATAAGGAAAGGAGGAAAAGGTATTTCATGGCAATAGATAAGTCCACTGTGGAAATGAGGAATTTTGGTCCAACTGCACCACAGAGAACACGGAATCCTTTTGGACTGCTCCTCTGCTTTCTCTGTCTTTTGTATTTTTCTTCTGGTTTCCATTTTTTTTTAAACTACAAAACTATAACAACTCCTTGTTCTCTCATCTTTACTGTTATTTCTGCAAGATGTTAAAATCATATTCTTAAATCTTGGCGCTCATACAGTCAAAACAAATGGACTCAAGGGACTATACTTACATTACGAGAATCCACAGCTGCATACATGATATCCATCCATCCTTTAAATGTAGCCTATAAACAGAACACTGGTGTTTACCTCATGCTTTTCCTGGAAAATGGCTTGTCAGAAGCACTGAGAGCTAAAGACTAAATTTCTTTATGTGCTCATCATAAACACCAGCACAGTGCAATGTTAACAGGTGACTCTTCCCTACTATTCTATATTTTACTTATATAAAGGAATTGCAAGCAAATTCTAATACCTGACTATAGACAACACAGCATTTATTAAGAACTTTTATCAATTATGAATAATATCTGATATAAAAGTTATTTTTCTGTGTATGAGAAAAGCAGGTGCACTTGATATGGATTCAATGCAGGCAAATTAGTTTTGAGTTATGTATTTTTTCTCATAGTCAGCATAGCCTCTACACTTTGTACTATTTCTCTAGAGTCATGGATTTATCCCACACTATATAATTCCAAACCAAGAAGTGAGAGACAAGATTTCAAAATGAAAGAAACAATGAAAAATTATTTTTTACTCTACAAGTAAACAATACTGATATAGAAAGAGAAATAGAAATTAAGGAGTGGTGACTTACCACTTGAAGCAGAGAAAGATAACCAAGGCCTACATTATCAAAGTTAACCTTCACATTCTTCCATCGAGCAGTTTCATTGTTTTTTATGAGCTCCTCACATTGACTATAGTTGTTGATTTGGCTGATATCAAACCTCTCATCAGTTGTAGTGTTAACACAGTAGTAAAATTTTCCAGCAAATAGATTTACTCCCATGATACTGAAGATTAGCCAGAATATAAGGCAAACAAGCAGCACATTCATAATGGATGGAATTGCTCCTAACAGGGCATTCACAACCACCTACAGTACAAAGAGAGACAGTGTAAGAACCCAGGCACCAGTATCTTACAAATGCTTCATCAGCCCTTCTTAAATGCAACACTCTATTTTAACTCTAAAAGCTGTGTTATGCTTTTTTTTAATTGTTGAGAGTAACAAGTAAGAAAAGCCGTATAGAGGAAAGACAAAATGTCAACGTAATTAGGAGGAAAACCATACAAACAGTAGCAAATGGTGGCTTTAAAGAATGGGAAAAAGAACAAACAGGAAAAATTAACTAAAAAAACCCATCACCTCACAAACAAAAATCATCATATACTGTTTTTTTATAAAATATTTACTTAATGCATGTCTGCAAAACCATGTCTAATGACTGCAAAAAAACCAACAAAATTTATTCTATTACATGTTTACTGCATAAACAGTCCAAATCATTATTACCACTGAGCAAGTTTTTATTTGAAAGTCATTTTAAGATTTCCTTTAAATAAAACTGAGGGATATATGCATGTTCATCTGAAAGGTTATATATAAAATCAGAAAAGCAGGCATGCTCATCTGAACACAGAATCAGGCAAGTGGCAGATAAGACTTGAAGAAGGAAGAGACGTGATGTAATTCCCAAACGAATTTTTGGGAAAATCAGGAAAGAAAAATAGGAAAATGAGTTCATGTATGATGATAAACAATAATAAAAACCATGCCAGAATAAAAATAAAATAGTAAAGAAAATAAAATTAGGGAGAAAGTAGGTCCATTCTGAATGAGAATGATTTAATTAATGATGGAATTGATGAACTGCTAAATTAGCTAACTCCTATTTTAAATCTGATTGTAAGTCTAACAATATTATGGAGCACCTCTGTCAATTTTGCCAAAACAACTGAATCAGATCCTTAGAGCCTAAAGAAGATTTTGTTTTTAAAATGCAGGGCATTAGGTATGTAGCTGTAATTGTTTATAATTCATTTAGTTTATACAATGTAGGCACTACAGCAGATCCCTTAGCACACTATGGTATTTATTTCTATTTGAAATACAAATATGTACCTCAAGCCTGTAAAAGATTTTGGCATTATGTTTGTATCTGCAATTAATAGGTTACATACAATCAATTACTTGTAAAAAATAGTCACTCCTTGCCATTTTACAGAATAGAAAATAAAACTTTTGAATGTTAAGAGTAGGTGAGGAACCACCACCATATATACAATATAGTAGACTTGGGCTGAAGGAAAGGAGAAATATTTGTTTTACTCTCAGGGCACCATTCCTGCCAAAACAATACCTCTTTGGGGTGATACACACTTTGGACCCCAATGAAATTCTTGTTACGTTAAATTTAGGAGCTGGACCAAAGTCCCTTTCAGTGTAAATTACTCTCTGACTCTATAAAAGCACAGAATGGCGGATGAAGTCCAAAGCTTCCATGCTTTTCTTTGCCACATACTTTAAATGAAATGTTGTAAAACATGTTTATTTCTTACAGGGAAAGTGGGGGGGGAAAAAATCAAAATTGTTTCTTATACTAATAATCTCCTTATCAATACCTATTATAAATCAACAAACGAAAACAATACAGCATTTTATCACACATCAGTCATGCAGAGAGGATTTCCTGACTGATGGATAAATCTATTCTGATTATTTCCATAGTGCTGTCTTATGCTGACAGACCTATACTCTCACCTTCGTCAATGACATGACAGTGGAAGGCCATGAGGAGTATTTTTACCTGAACAAATGAATAGTTTCGTAATAATGCTGAATTAGCTTAAATTGGAAATCCATTAACTCACTGGTTTTAGTGGGAAGTTTGACTGGAATAATGAATGGCAACATCATTTTTTCCCCAGTTTGGGAATATTTTCTAAATACATATTAGTTACTATTTTCACATTATTTCTATTTATAGGTATATCAATTCTTCTACTTAAAAATATAAGTAGGTTTCTTAAATTTAATAATGTAATCCATCAGGAATAATTCTTGAGAGATAAAGGGATAGTTAATGAAGTGAAAATATTTGTCCTCAAGCTTTTAATCTCATTACACCCAAGAATTTTCTTCCTCTTTCTGCTATAGCTGCAGGTCCAGTCATGTTCTTCTTTCTTTAATTGCTGGATTTCTACAGCTGACCTACTTTCTCTGAATTTAGTCTGAGTCCTGAAGCTATAGCAGGACCAGTGTTTAATATGTATCATTTGAAGACACTCAAAACATACTGTTGAGCATCACTGAAAACACTGATCCATTAGCAGCAGGGGTGTAAAAAAGGTGGCAAGGCCTGACAGCAAATGAAAATAAGGAAAGACATTAAAAACATTGTTTACTGGTTAAAAAAAGGTAGTATGTCCCTAGCACCATACAGCAGTGAGTGATACTGCTTGGTACAGAGCACAGACAGATTAATTATGCTCCCACAGGTTAGTTTCATGAAGTCTCAAGTGCAAAGTGTATTTCCCCTAGCAGTAGTGGTGGGAAGATGCAGGGGAAACATGTTTTCCACAGGAGCAATGTTTTTTCTCTAGTATTAGTCTGGGCAGCCACAAGTCCTGAACTTAGAGAATAGTATAGTGGATTAAAAATTTTAGATGTGTAGAATGGAGTTTCTTCTTTGTATATAGGAAGTATAATGCTCACTAGAAGTAATTCTAAGTGTGCAAAAATGTGCACCATACTATATTGTATTTTCAGTTCACAGATGTTAAACACTAGTGAAATTACTATGTTAGGAACAGACATCTTGAATTCCTGTGTATCAGACCTTAAAATCGTCTCACACTAATTTCTTCACCAGCTCGAGCTACTGTATCTTTAAAGACATCAAGCCTGAATTTAATTAAATAAAGCAAATGCATTATATCCATAGGAAAATTTCAAATTCAGTCATTAATTACCTGAATCATAAAAGTTATCTAACTTCAGCCACTACTTTTTATTGTATCTTTTGCTGAAGGCATATATCTCCTCCTTATCTGGGTATTTTACAAAGAGATGCAGCAGATCATGTCAAATCAGTACGTAAAGTTTACACCAACACGGAAGTTATGGGATTGACAATTACCCATAAGCCTTCATGACAAACTGATTGTTTTTAGCTTGCCACATTAGATTGCCACTTCACCAATTTACTGTGCATATAAAATTTGTAATATTTTGCGTTTAGGATTTTTTTTCTTTGATAATCACTCACACAAAAAAACTCCATCAGCTAATGTGCTCCTTAGCAAGAGACTACTGATGTTTTAGATAGTCCTTATGTCTAATACAAGCATCTCAAATGTTCAAATTTGCTTTAGCAAAGTTCCAGCAATCTGTTGGAGGCAAGGAAGTGGTGTTTTCTATTTGAATTTATAACCTTCCTCCAAAGCTTGTCGAAGTCTTTTACTTTCTACAAACATAGAGCAGCACATTTTCTTCAGAAGCTCATGCATCTGTAGTTGACTTAGAAATTTGCTTATCAGTTTATAATCTGGGTGCCCAAAGATCAGTGATTACAGTAGGGAGCTCACACAAGGATCCCTTTTAATTACAGCAACAGGGTTTCAGCTCAGGTACATCTGCTGATTAGGTCTATGTCCAAGGCAGACAGATGGACCCTGAAGGTATAAGACACACAACTTCTTTTATCTGGAGCTAGAGTTATATACCATCTCCAGTTGTTGACTACTGCCCTTAAGAGAAATATTTTTGAGTTTTCAAGTCATAGCAGAGTACATAAGGTCTTTGTCCATTTCAGTGCACTAAGGAAGGGACCTAAACTAATCAGTTTGACTTTGCACTGGAATAGACTGAGAAAGCCTTGTTGGGCAGCGGATAACTGATGTAACAAACAGCTGGGGACAGTAACTTCTCAAATATAACCAACTGTGTCAGCAAAAGTCTTCTGACATGTTTTCAGGCTGCTTAGTGGTCTATAGATTATAATCAACAATTTAAAATCAATCACGAAAGCAGTAAGCCACCAATTTAGGCCAGAAATCATAAAGCCAGCTCCATCTTTGATATACTAGAAAAGTTGTTTTAAATAGAATGCAATTCTGAAAGAGGTGGTATTTTAACACTACCAATTTACTTATTAACATAGGAAATTGTTACAAAACTTTTAAATTGTAACAGAATTTCCCAGTTAATATTTACAGTATAGTGGGTTAAAAGATATTTGATAGGCTGTGCATGATATTCTATCCTAGTATGGAATACACATGTGCATATGTAGGTGCATATATGTGCACACATTTTTATGAGGAAGTACTGTTTTTTTTAAACTGTTCTGACTACAGAAGAATTTATTTGTGCGGGATAAATTCAGTTTTGTAGTAACATTGCATAGATCCATGCAGTTGATCCTCGGGCCCTCCATGAAAATATGAAATAGGGTGAAAGGCCAAGGAGCCTAGATAAGTGTAACAATGCGCACAGTAACACATGAATTCATATAAGCAGATAAAGCCTTTTGCTTATATGTTAGTGATAAATGTAAAATATATACAATGATAGTGTAGCGTTTCTGCATGGATTTGTCACTGATTATTCTGCATGCATGTATTCTTTCTATGCATGCATAGTTTCAGATTCTTTCATTTTGTCTTACCCTCATCCCTTCAAATCGCGACAAGGCTCTTAGAGGTCTCAAAGCTCTTAGTGTCCTAAGGGATTTAATCGCACCAAGTTCTGAGTAGCCCAAGGCATTAGCAGTTAAGCTAACCAAAGAGACCTACATAAAAACAGAAAGGCAATATTGCTCATTTAGCTTATATATCCCTTCGAAGATATGGCAGGAATGATGTGTGCCCTGAACTTCTCAAGAAGATTCAAGGCTGGACCTCTTTCTCCACGAATCCCTCTATAATGCAGAAAGAACTTTCAAGTCAGACAAAGTAGAATAAAAGTATATTCTAAGTACCTGTTGATGAAATCATGCTGGTAGAATGGTATAAAAAAAGGCCTTCTAAATTCATATAAACCAGTCAACACTTGGTGGTATTTAAAGAAAAATGAAGTCACATGCAAAAAGAAAACTTGCAAAAGTTGGGTGCACTAGAATGGTCAATTTAGGTCAGGATTTCCCATAGTATCTTCAGAACTTGATGAGCATGTATAAGCTCTCAAAAACCATATCCAGACCTGGCTTTTGGTCAAATGTAAATTTCTGGTGTCCAGAAAATCTTATTCAACAGCCATATCTACCAGATCTGTTTATATTTAACCGGATAATCAAGACTGATAATCAACTGTTTGTTAGACAATGGTAGATGCTTCATTGTTAGGCATATCCACATTTCATTAAATTCCCTGTGACTCCTTTAACCACTTCATCAATTCTGGCTTGCGTAACGCTGGTCTGGTCTGCAGGCAGATGAATAAGTAAACTAGAATAGCTGTAAAATAAATAATACAATTATCTTTCATCAGTAATTCTTAGAAACGTACTTATAGTAAACCATTGGGAAGGAGTGGCCCTAGTAAATTAAAAAAAAAACCCAATCCAACCCAACCCATCTTCTTTTTCCCTCTGTTTAATGCCCTTCCCTTCCATCCTTCTTCTTTTAATTCATTTATTTCCATATTAAACTTTTCAATTTGTTACCTCAATCCTGTCACTAAAGGTTAAAAATAAGTTAAAAAAAAAAATCATAGAATCACAGAATGGTTTGGGTTGGAAGGGACTGTAAAGATCATCTAGTTCCAACCCACTCTGCCATGGGCAGGGACACTTTCCACTAGACCAGGTTGCTCAAAGTCCCATCCAACCTGGCCTCGAACACAGCCAGGGATGGGGCATTCAAAATCCAGAAATTCAAAATGGCTCAGAGATCAAATTTTTTTCCATGAAAAATTGCGCCAGGGTGAGTGTGCCATGAAAATCTAACAAAGATATTTATAAAGTTTACAGAAATAACTAAACCACAGATTATCAATTAAGAATTAAATATTTTTTGATAGATACAATAAACATACAAGGACAGTGTAATGTATTGTCCACAGTGCCTCTAAAGTTCTGCTGGTTGTGGTAATTTACACATGGGATGATTGAGCCTGAAAATTAAATCTTTTACAAGGGTACAGACTCAACGACAGAATACTATGTGTGCATACAGTAATGTTTTATCATAGGATCTGTAATGTTAGTATGGACTTAAAAGTTATAATGTTTTCCAACCTGCGTATAGTAAAGACTCCATGGTCTATCACATCACTATAGTTTTAGGGAGTTACATAGAGGTTTCTATAGACTTCTGCTGCTTTTGGCATGAGGGAACAAGTGATTCAGGACAAATTCTTACCTTGCATTCTATGGGAATTACATATGTGGAACTGAGAGATACCCTATTAGCACAGACAGATGTAGTCAGGCTATTGGGCATGGAAGGGAAATCAATGTCTGCTATATGATAAAAGATCTGTAGACTTCCATTTATGCTACCCAGTATTGTGCGTGCATTGTTAAGCATGTAGACTCGAAATTACAGGGCGCTTCTTACTAGATCTCCTAAAGACGATGTGCATCTACCCATTGGTGCTGCAGCCCTTTGAAAAATCATCTGAAAGCCCATTCTAAGGGAGCTCATCTACAGTTCTCCAAATGTCTCTTTAAGGTCACCCATGTGATGCAGTGAAAAGTGTTAATAGTACTGAATAGTATAATGGATGTCAGAGTTCCTAGTAGTATTTTCCTTTCATGTTACACAAAGTGACAAGACACTTACAGTAATTCATTAGAATGTTAGAAAGCTCTAAAGAAATTGTTTTGAAATATGTAAATTCCCTATACAGCAAAAAAATGAAAAGGATGAACAGCATCCTTTCCATACCATGAAAAAAAAATAATAAAAGCATTATTTCAATAAGCATTACAACTTCATAAAACTAGAGAATATTAACAAAACATCTCTAGAGTAATAAGTATATCTAAATAGTTCTACTTTTCTGAACAGAGTTATAAACCATACCACAGCAATAGTTTTAAAACAGTTTCCATTGAATAGAATAGAAGGCTTATCCTGAAACCATAATATTCTGATTTTTAGAGCCTGTCTTACAGGACATGAAAAAGAATACATACATCAACAATCAGGAAGTCCAGCCAGCACCACGCATTAGTGAAATAGGTTTGAAAGCCATAAGCCACCCATTTTAAAAGCATTTCCAGAATGAAGATATAAGTAAAAACTTTGTCAGCGTATTCCAGCATGGTCTTGATAGTTTTACGTTGCTCTATGTATATATCTTCAAAAGCCTGTGCAAAAAGATTTTTGAAGATGTAATTAAATGTTTTCACAATTTGCAATGTGGCATATAGTAGCCAAGAAAAAAACTGAATCGAAAAGATATATAGCATGATAAGACATATATCTTTCCCTCAAGCACAGCTTTTGCCTTCACTCCTTACTGTAGTCTCTTCATAAAGCTGGGTCCAAACACAGTATCCAGCTTTCGGTGTAGCTGAACAGTGATCCACAAAACTTTTTTAATACCTCCAAATCTCATTTTTGTAACTTCCATGGATAGCAATGGCTTATTGACATATGGATTTATTTGTGGTAGCTATAACTTTATATCAGAAACATATGAGGGATTTAAAAATTACTCTGTGATACAGAATTTTTTGAGCAACTAATAACTGAAACCAAACTACACACACTAACCCATAAAGCAATCCTGAACAGAGATTAATAACTCTCTTAAAAAAAACCCCACAACTGTCTACATTGTCAGTAAAACACCATGCATTGTCCCAAGTGTAGCAAGTACATTATATTTTGCTGCTGCTATGAGGAACTACTGAGTGTACCTGATTTAACATCAATCTGGGTCACTACCTGACGGAATCCCATTAGCACCTTACATCTCAGTTTGACAACTGAAGTTACTGTTCATAAGTTTCTAGCTCAGCTATGCTTTACTTTAATTGTGCATAAGACAACAACAACGACAAAATCTAATATCAATATGAATACAAGTGAATATCAGTCTGATATAACTAATGCCTTATTTCCATCAACACTACATTTTGAACTTGTGAAACAATTTGTTTCATAGCCTGTGAGCAAATTCTTACTATCCTGCCAAATACTTTTTGATGTATGTTGATCTTAGAACATTTATGAACTGGATATTAAATTCTGATATGTTACAACATTTAATACAAGCTGTATAATTAACTGTAATTCTAAAGGCTTGCTGCTTAAAATTGATGCAATAGTTTCACAGAGAATTTACCAGAGCACCGCTGCTGAGAAGAATCATGAAGACAATGAAGGTCTCAAACCAGTTGTGTTCAACAATCTTATAGCAGGTTTTCCTAAGATTCCACCAGATTTTCCCTTTCCCATCTTCTACACTGACTTGACAGCATTTGAATCTCCGCACGCAGCCTAAGTGCAATAATACACTTTGTCAGAATAAGGTAAGTATTTATTAGGAATCACAATAAACCAAATTCATTTGGTTTATTTCAGTGCTACTGCAATAGATGCTTTTAAACAAGTATCTCCTATTTGAGGATTTTTCAATATTTAAAGTTTTGTAACTCGTATAAAACCTTCCAAAATAAAGCTTCTCCTTGATTTTCAATAAAAATGGAATCCAGCCCAAACCAACAGTTACGAGTAATCACCTTGCATATATTTTGCTTTGCCTACCTTCTGTAAAACAAGCCTCTGGTTCCAGAACTTCTTCAGGTTCTGCTTCTGGCTGTTCCCCTTCTGGAGGTAGTCCAATATCAACTGTGCTGCCTTCTGATGAACTGGATGCATTTAATTTCTGTGAATGAAACCCCACATTATTTTTCTTTTTCAATTTCATCTATTTTGAATAGAAGTTCATGTTTGAAATGCATACCAAAGTATTTGCATCTGTTCCGTGCTTTGACATTAAAATAATTTCTTATCTACAGTCTATAATGCCAAATTGCTCTACTACAGGTGAGGTCACAAGATTAGAAACTACATCATGTGCATTTTCCCTATTGAAAATATGTTGATATTTTCACACAAGGAATTGCTGACATTAGACTACTATTCTGAGCCACACATAAGAATTCTGAAATGAAATTTCAGTAAGTTAGGAATGGGTGCCTTCCACACTTTCTACTGTTAAATTATTCCAATCATGTGGCTGCATTTTAGATTACACTTCAGACAGCATGTGTTAATACAAATAATTTTCCAACGTCATGACCAAACCAACAGCAAGCTGCACAGATGTATTTTCATGTCTTGAGTAAATGTTATGCTATCAAGCCTGTAAAATCTAAAAAGTTCAAATATAAGCTTTTCATTACCATTGACATGAAAACACATATTATGAGTTGCATAGGATAATTTAATTCTCTTTATTTCCAAAAGAGCAGCATATTACTTTAAGAGCAGTAGCTGATATTTTGCATTCTCACTTGCCAACGCATTTTCTGAATTTATTGTGCATTTTGAAACTACTTATTACTTTGGTACAGTACACATACATGTCCAGTCCCTATAAAAGACCCTATTTTTTTTAATTATTATTTTTGGAAGACTAAATAAATTTTAAAACAGTGCTTTTAAAACAGTACTGTCAAGAAACAATACTACACCAATGAATCATACTGATAATCAAATCTTCAAAATGATTCTTTCACACTGTCACATTATATTGGCAACAGACAAGTATGAGTACTATAATAAGTAAAAGTAGTTTGATCATGGCATTCTATGACTTCTAATGTTATCACTATGTGGAGTATAACATCAGTAAAATGGCTGCATTGATAAGTAGCTAATTTTATAAAGGGAATGATGTAAGCAGATTTAGAATACAGTCTATAAGGAAGTAATATTAGACAGAGAGAGAGTCCATGGTAAAATTAAAGATATACCTTTGCTGACACTTAAATCTTCAGTTAGAGGCATTATTCCTTTAAAACATGTTTGAGAAGCTCCAAATTGTATACTTTTTTTTTTTTTTTAAATGTAAACAGTATTAGTATGTGAATACAGAAAGTACCATAAGATTTAATGGAATTTTACATTGCAGATAATATTAAGTATGTTCTTCAAACAAAAAAGATTAATTCCTTTCTCCCCCACTCTGATCTTATTGAATAACACTGACAATACATTGTGTTGTCATTTTGAAATAGGCTTAACTTTAATTTTTGTGTTCTATGGTATGCTATAGCCCACATTTTAGAGGAAGACCAAAGAAATGGAAACATTTATTGCCTGGTGTATTATGCATGCAATTTCAGTGATATCTGCACACCCACTTCCTTTGTTTCTTTGAAAATCCCAGCTTACATATTCATGTTTTATGTTTGTGCATAAGCTTTAGCATCTATGAGGTTAGGTCCAATGTACAAAAACATGGATACATACTTTTTTGCAGATGATTATTTACAAATTCCCCATTGTAACATATCCAAATTATAGATAACACATGGCAGTTTGGTCATTATGGAATACTGCCTCTAAAACGGAGAAAGTAGAATGTATAGGATAAATACTGTAGTTCTCAAGAAAGTACCACAGAATTTAAACATCAGTGGAAATCAATCGTCAGTTTGAGGAGAGGCCAGAAATACCATAAACACAAGGTACGTTCCAAAGAAATTTATCTATGGTGTTAAAAATCAATGTTTATCAATACAATACAGTAAATATTTTTTAAACTGAGAAGTGATTATCTGTTTGCATTATGTAGAGTTTTCTTAAAATGTTGCTTGCATCATTCCAATCTGGACAGCATTTCTAGCAGAATGCTGTATAGTAGCAGAGCAAAGGAAAATTATGAACTGGTTAAACCACAATTTTGAACGACCTACTGCCCATTATTTTATAGAAAAATGAAGATTTCAGTAGCTCAGATATTAAGCAGTTAGTCTAATCGGCAAAAGTTAATCTTAAGAAGGGGTAGTGAATTCCTATTATTGGAATGGCATAAGACTAACAGTTAGCTCAAGATGGGAGATTATAGATATCCACTATAAGAAGAGATCAATAAGATCAGGAAGAAAAAATAGAAAATTATCAGTAGAACAGTCAATTATAGGAACATCAGAAAGCCATCTTTATTTATGGGGGGCAGTATGTATGGTGAGTTGTAGCTTACAAGTCTCTTCTCACTGCAAATCAGGTATACTTCTTTTTAAGAGCTGCAATAATAATCACAGGAGTTAAGCTAAACAGAAAAATCCTAAAATGAATCAACAGCAACTGATACTTGAAACACAATAATTAAATAACTTAGCCCACTGAGAATTCAGTTACTCTTCTGTGTTCGATGTGACAGAGTATTTCCTTAGCATGCTCTTCTGCTATACCTGAATTCAGCTCCAACCTGATCAGTATATGAAGATGCATATTATAAAATTATTCAATAAACTCAATCTGTAATAATTCAGTATCATTTGGGGAAGAAAAATCAAGAATTTTCAGATTTTCAGCATAAATAGTTACTATTTTCTTTGTTTGTTTCTCTGTTATTTGTAACACTGAATTTATTGTATGGCATTCTATATAATACTTATAAAATTTAGTATGTATTAGAAACAGCTAGGAAGGTTTTATGATCCAAAAATTTAGGATTTTAGCAAATCAGTTAAGTTCAGTACGCCAGTAAAACTTTTCAATAACCATCACTATTTCCACGGCAAACTTTTACTCTGGTATAAAGCAATTGTACTGATTTCTACATATTCAACACAACATCATATGGGAATGGACCATGTTATTGCTGCTTATGTTTTTTCCATATGCTTTAATATATAGGAAGACTTTTTTCTACCACTTAATATGTCTTGCCAGTGTTCGTACGTATGGAATCCAGTTGGATAGCTAGACTACCCCTAATTGCAGACTGATATGTTAGGTATATAGCGTATGTTGCAGTTCTTTACCTTTGCATATCTCAAAGTTACCTTTGCACTTGATAAATTCTTCTCTGCTCACCAGCATTACAAAAACTGGATTTAGGCATTGCTACATACTTAACACGTACACAGCTTTTTAAAAAAATAAGCCTGCAGAAACAAGAGAATCATCAGATCCAAAAGTTCTCTTTAATATAATAGTAATAGTAATATAGTTGTAAGTCCTTTTTAAGCCTTTGTTATACCATGGGTTTAGGTTTCAAAAGTATTGAGTCACCCAGATTAAAAGACATTTAGAGGGCCAAGTATTAAACACTCTGAGAGTTAGGATGCTAGATTCTTTATGAAAAGTATGCTAAGGAAATTATTCTCAGAGAAATCTACTTTGCAAAACCTCAAAATGTACATACTCCATCTCCTTTTCACAGAAAACAGTAAGGGGACAAAAGTACTTACATGGTTCTAAAGCAGCAGTATACTGATTAACGTAGAGAGATATCTTTTTTGTCACCTCTACCAACAGCCTCGACAGTCATGCTTTAGTCAGCAATCCAGTATAGTATGAGATACAGATTTTTGTTTAGGTTCAAGATAGAAACTGAAAGTGGAAAGCAGCTTGCCTATCAGAGCAGCATTGCAAAAGCAGCAGCCAAGATTAGGTCAGGAAGTTTTTGACATAATTACTTTCTGAACCAGGGCAACATCTCATAGATTACAATACAATTCTGCTTCACTTACAGCCAGGACACTTGGAGCTTCTAACATTTCTTTCTTTCTTTCAAAGATGATTATCTGAGAGTAGCTGAACAGCTCTTAGGTTAAGATTTTTGACAAAGCCTGAAATTTCATGATTGCCCAGGATGCCACTAATAGCTGTTGAAATCATAATTTAAGGGACTGAAGGAGCAAAGAGCAAAACAGACATAAGCAGGAAGATGATGCCAAGAGAAACCACCATTTTGGTTTTGCTTTTAATTTCCTTTCCTCCCACATGCCTGTGAAAATGTTAAATAATGGAAATGGTATTGGTTTTATTTTCTCAGAGCTGTGTGGATGTCAGTATGAAAGTGAGATGTTCTGTAACATAAATGGCAATACTATAGACAAACTTATCCAGTCTTTTTTCAGTACAGGTATATCACCTATAAAATTTACCAAGTGGTAAATATTATCATAGTTCCACCGGTATAATTAGTGGAATCTGGATATCACTCTTTCTACTGTTTATACAGTCAGGCATAATAACTTTATCAGTTCAAAAAACCAGAACATTTTAAAACAAAGCAAAACAATTCTGTGATGATTATTGTTTGCAAATACTGCAGAAAAACAGGTTCACTAAATTATAGTACACTGTACTTTGTTGCTATTTATAATTCCTTTGATCTACTTATTTATGAGCATTTCATAAATGAAAATATTTGCAAGAATCTTGGATGAAAGCAAAAGCATCGTAAATAGCAGTGGAAATATTTGCAAAAGCACTCCCACTGGAAGTTACTTAAAAAGGCTCTTTGATTCACACGAGCAGTAGTGGAAGGATATTGCAAGGGACTGCTGTTCGTAAGGATTGATTAAGCTAACTCCAATTAACTCTAATATTAACAACTTAATATCATCCACTGTGAATCACAATATGCCAATACAATGTGACCAATTCACAAACAATCCCAAACCTAAATTCTTCAGGGTATCAAAGGATTCTGAATAATATTTTAAAATAAAAATATGACTTAGAAGATAAATTATTCTTTATAAAGCATAAGACAAAAAGCTATGCAATAATAATATTTTAACTCCTCTGATTTACCAAACTGAAAGTAGCATCACAGAACTATAGTGTTGTAAATATTATGGCAATGTTTAATAGGTGAGATGTAATTAATACTAAAGCTCAGAACCTTTTGGTCCAACA